AAAAAAAGGAAGAGTTGCTACAATTACGATAATAAATTGCTTAATTTGGTATCACCCAAAAATAAATATATATATCACTCAACACATCTTTGAGGAAGCACTTTCCTTTAGAAGTCTCCTTCCGCTGAAGCCCCACAGAACTATGGTGAAGACAATGCAAGGTTTACAAGGGAGAAGTCCACAGCATTACTGACCAATGAAAAGCAAGTCTGCTAAAGGCACAAACCCTGTAATAACCTCAGACACAGACTGAGTGCACCCCAGCGTCAGCTCTCCTCATCGCCTGCCAGCGGCTGTTTACACAACAGCACCTATCTTACAGAAAGTCGAGCTAGGGCAGAATCTGAGACCAAGTCCTTTAATTGAAGGGGCTCTGCTTTTACCATCAGGGCAGACAGGGATGAAGCTTAACTTGACAAAAACAACGGTCTTGGGGAAAGACAGAGCCCAGGGGTGAGGCATGGCCCCACATTTGCAGACCGACTCTTCATGAATGCAGTCTCCTTGCTCCCCATGAAATGACAAAGCTTTCACTGACACTTAGCCTAGCACAAGAAGAGCACTGCCTATCTTCCTGCAAGTACCTCACAATCACTCTCAGTCTAAGGGCTGGCAATTGGGCTGGAGAAGCAATTCCCAGTGCAGTGAATTGATTGACATGCTTCTACTTTTCCTTACTCATGAACATACCTGCCCAGACAGCCAGCAGCTAGATGGATATTGGGGGCGAGGAGGGGCACATATCAATAAGTACTGGGAAAAGCTCTGGGTTTTGAGACGCTCATTCCACAGCAGTAGCAGGTCAAACTCCTCACAATACTCCTACAGCAGCAAAGGGGGTCAGAAGGACCCATCCTTTCCTTTCCAGTAATAATCCAAAAAGATAACTCTACAGGTGGGCACAGGGACAGGCCCAGAAGGACAGAGGTTTAGTTATCCTGGCAGCTTTATCACCCTTCCTCTAAAATGGAAGACTGAATTTCAACTTGCCTAGATATTCCTGGCACTAGACGACCAAGAAGATGCTATAGGTGTGCTGTACTGCTGTGCAGGGAATGCTAAGCAGAAGCAGGGAAGGGTCATTACTCCTGTATGAGGGGTTAATCAGACCATTACTGAAATACTGCTTCCAGTTCTTGGGTTCACACTTCCAAAAGATAACAAATAGGACAGAGTTCAGACGAGAGCTACAAGAATGACTGGAGGTCTGGAAAACCTGCCTTCCAGTGAGGCTAAAGCAGTCAACCTATTTAGTTTCTCCAAGAGAAGATTAAGAGGTGACTTGATCATGGGCTAAAGTACCTACCTCCATGGGAGGCTGGGGGAGACTGGATATCAGAGGGCTCTGATCTAGCAGATGAAGGCAGAACATCCAATGGCTAGAAGCTGAAACTAAACAAGTTTAGACCAGAAATAAGGCAGTTTTTAATGAGGGTAATTAACCACTAGAACTTACTGAGAGATGTGGTGGGTTCTTTTAAATCAAGACTGGACGTCCTTTTAAAAAGAAAGAGACTCTCTACCTCAACCAAAAGTTATAGGACTGATGTAGGAATCACTTGGTGAAATTCTATGGCCTGTGTTATGCAGGACGTCTGATAAGGATTAATTAAAATGATCCCTTCGGACCTTAAAACCTATGGGTGAAATCATTGCTTCACTGCAGTCAATGGAAACTCACATTTACTTCAACAGAACCTGAATTTCATCCTATGAAAACCACCGAGGGATATGGCTACTAGTCTGGCACCTAGCAAGAGAGGATACTCCTACCACCATGTGTATTATGGAACTAAGGCTGCAGTCAAGTTTAAATTATTTTTTTAAATAAATGCTTCCTTGTATAAAAAGGGAAATAAAAACCACCCAGGAAACTACAGACCAGTTAGTTTAACTTCTGTGCCAGGGAAGATAATGGAGCAAGTAATTAAGGAAATCATCTGCAAACACTTGGAAGGTGGTAAGGTGATAGGGAATAGCCAGCATGGATTTATAAAGAACAAATCATGTCAAACCAATCTGATAGCTTTCTTTGATAGGATAACGAGTCTTGTGGATAAGGGAGAAGCAGTGGATGTGGTATACCTAGACTTTAGTAAGGCATTTGATACGGTCTCGCATGATATTCTTATCGATAAACTAGGCAAATACAACTTAGATGGGGCAGCTATAAGGTGGGTGCATAACTGGCTGGATAACTGTACTCAGTAGTTATTAATGGTGCCCAATCCTGCTGGAAAGTTATAACAAGTGGGGTTCCACAGGGGTCTGCTTTGGGACCGGCTCTGTACAATATCTTCATCAACGACTTAGATATTGGCATAGAAAGTATGCTTATTAAGTTTGCAGATGATACCAAACTGGGAGGGATTGCAACTGCTTCGGAGGACAGAGTCATAATTCAAAATGATCTGGACAAATTGGAGAAATGGTCTGAGGTAAGCAGGATGAAGTTTAACAAAGACAAATGCAAAGTGCTTCACTTAAGAAGGAACAATCAGTTTCACACATACAGAATAGGAAGAGACTATCTAGGAAAGAGTACGGCAGAAAGGGGTCTAGGGGTTATAGTGGACTACAAGCTAAATATGAGTCAGTGTGATGCTGTTGCAAAAAAAAAAAGCGCAAACGTGATTCTGGGATGTATTAACAGGTGTGTTGTGAGCAAGACACGAGAAGTCATTCTTCCACTCTACTCTGTGCTGGTTAGGCCTCAACTGGAGTATTGTGTCCAGTTCTGGGCACCGCATTTCAAGAAAGAAGTGGAGAAATTGGAGAGGGTCCAGAGAAGAGTAACAAGAATGA